CTTGACGTAGCCAGTGGTTGTGGATATCAACGTGTCGGAGTTTGGTCGTCAGCTGGGAGGTGTTCTCGTTGACCAGCCGGATCGTTTGTTTGTTGTCGCACTAGATCGTGATCGTCGAGTCCTCGAGCTTGATACCTAGCTCGGTCTGCAGTCGTACGAGGAACTGTGCCTCCTTCGCTGCTTGTGCTAGAGAGAGTAGTTCCGCTTCGGTTGTCGACGTCGTGACCGTGTCTTGTTTGTTTGCTCGCCATGCGATCGCTCCTCCAAATAGCTTGAGGATAAAGCCTTGAGAGCTCTTCCGGTCCACCGTGTTGTCTGCAAATGACGCGTCGCTGGCTACTACTAGGTCGTTGTTTCCGCCAAATTGTAGCCCGAGGGCGCGTGTGTGGTGGAGGTAGAGGAGGACACGATCGGCGGCTCGATGATGCTCGGTGCTCGGGTTCGTGAGAAATCGTGCGAGTCGTGAGGTGGCAAAGGCGACGTCAGGGCGCGTATTGACTGCCACGAACAGGAGTGAACCAATCTTTCGTTGGTATAGGTTGATCTCGGCGGCCGTTGCAAGGTCTTTCCTTGGCAACAGCTCAATTTGTGCTATTGGCGTGTCATGTCGTATCGTACGATCAGTGACGAGTCTAGTGATCTTATCAATGTAGGCGGCTTGGGAGAGCCAAACCTTCTGGGCTTCATAGTCTCTAATAACCTCTAGTCCTATAAACCACTTAAGGGGTTCTCCTCCGGTAAGGGTGTACTTCTTCCGTAGCTCTTCCACTGCCTTGTCTGCCGAAGCCCTCTTGTTGGGGTGATTGCCGAGAATAATATCATCGACGTAGAAGAAGATGAAAACTCCGTCCCGTATCATGCAGCAGGGCTCGTGAGGCACTGGAAGGAAACCCATACTCGTGAGGTGCTCGGTGATGTCTTTCTGCCACAGGAGAGGGGAGATCCGGAGGCCGTACAACGCCTTGTCAAGCTGGAGTATCGTGCCGGGCCGGGCATAGCCTCTGGGCATGCGCATGTAGACCAGTCGGTCAATGAGCGCGTGTACGAAGGCGTTTGCAATGTCGAATTGCCTAAGCTCTAGGCCGAACCGAGCAGCAATAGCCATAAGCATGCGAAACGATCTTCCAGTAAGTGTGGCGGCGTAGGTCTCTTGGGCGGTAACATTGTTCTGCTGATCGCCTCTAACCACCAGCCTTGCCTTGCACTTCTTGAGTCGAGACTGCTCGTCAAGCTTATAGGTGTATACCCACATCGAGTCTAGAATTTGGATCCCTTCTCTTCGTGCTCGAAAGCTTGGCACCTCCGTCCATGATTCAGTCTTCTTATGGCTATCGAGGTGTTCTTCCTCGGCCTTCTTGAAGCTGTCGTAAAACGGGTGACTCGGCTTGAGACTGTTTGGCGAGGGTGGAGGTGGCAGCTCGCTGAGATGGGGTCGATATCCCTTCATCATCTTGCGGGTAAGGCTTGCATCATCTACTCGCACCCCTTCAATGCTCTGAACGTTTCCCGCCAGTAGGCCGGCAATGAAAGCTGCAGCCCACGGCTCAGCAACGTATGCTGGATGTCTTCGTACGTTTCTCGCTGTCGGATCGGCTTTATAGGCTGCAATCCTAGGCTCAGCAACGGTGGCTAGACTTAGTGCGTTGAGTGGAGATCGGAGTCTGTCCCTTTTGCTCAGGAGAGACACTCGGTGATCAACCGGCTTAGCTCTATCCGTTTTGCGTAGGAGGTCCATTCCCAGCGTCTGTATTCTACGGGAGTGAGGTAGGACTGGATCTTGTCCCTCATCACTACTCCCGGCAGCGGCTGGAGGCAACTGCTCGTATCCAACTGAACTCATCCACTGCGCGATAAACGCTGCAGGTGGGGTGCTCGGTGGCGTAGGATAGGGTATTCTCTTCCTTCCTGCCTTATCGTATTGGGGTTGTTCTGGTGGTCCTTGGGAGTCGCTCACTGCCTCGTCCTCATAGAACGTGTCTGTCTCACTGTTCTGCTCTTGAGGAGAAGGGGGTAACTCTACCGTACGGATCCACAATTGAATCTCTTCGAGAGTGCTGTGCATAAGATTATCCATGACTTGCTTCTCACTTCCATCGAAGATTGTACACTCATCGAAAACAACATCGCGGGTACTGATGACCTTCCCCATCGACGGTACCCACACTCTGAAAATGTTGGATGATCGATATCCAACGAGGTATCCAATCCAGGCCTTCGGGTCAAGTCTTTGCAACCGTCCCTTATGCCGTTTCGTGTCATCCGTTATCGCAAAGGCCTTGCAGCCGTAAGTGCGTAGATGGGACTGATTTGGCTTACGAGGTGACGTGACGACTCCGAGTTGGTAGGCGACTCTAGTGAAGAACTCTTCGTATGGTGATCTCTAGCGATTTGAGTATCGGGGCGTTCGGTTGTACAGGTACACGGCGGATCGCACGACTTCTGGCCAGAGCTCCCACGGTAGGTTGGCGTCAAGGCGCATTGCTCGCGATTTCTCCTTTATCACACCCCCTGAGCGTTCTGCTCCCCCATTCTGGGCTTGGGTATCTGGTGCAGAAGGCTCAACGGCAATGCCCTGATCGTCTTTCCATCGTTGTGCTTCTGTCGATCGGAACGTCTCGTTGTCAGTCTCGATAACTGCCACCGTGATACTAAATTGCGTCTTCATGAAGGTGACGAATGTTCGGAGGGCTCGGATAATAGAATGGGCGCTGTGGCTCTTGAGGTAGAAATCCCAAAAGTAACCAGTCGCTCTGCACACGATCAGCATTTGCGTCTTCTCCTTCGTATTACTTCCGTCTTCATAGTCATGAAAGTCAATGGCTACTCGCTCCCCAGGTCCATTATGGATCTCTCTGGGTGCTCTTCTTATTAGTCTCTTTGACTTTGATCTTCCACACGCGTCACATTCGACGGTGGGCAGGCCAACGATCTTCACCCCTTCAGAGTGATGCACGAGATGTTCAAGTGCCTGAGGTCCTGGGTGACCCATTCGTTTGTGCCATATCATCGCTTTGGCTCGTTGCCTTGGGTGCCGGGTGCGTGCAGTGGTTGCAAAGCTACCCTGTGGTTGTTTCACATCGTTGTATTCGATAACCCATTGTCCGTATCGTTCTTGGAGTGTAGCAATTGCGGCGTCATTGCGTCTGCGCAGTACTGTTGGGTTTGACTTGGTATCCCACCACAGACCTTGTTGGCGGAGTATCCTAAAAGAGACGAGGTTGCAGTGCAGGTCAGGGCAGTAGGCCACGTCGTACAGGTGCAGCAGTCGTGTGGGACAATCTCCTTGCACTCTGATGACGACAGTACCGTATGCCTTGATCCATACTCGTGCATTGCCTGCCCATAGGAAGTCTCCTTGTCCAGGTTCTCGGGTGTTTGTGAATCGTTCGATATCGTTTCCTACGTGGCACGTAGTGCCCGAGTCGAGGATAAAGGATCGTTCGAGTGGATACCTAGAGTTCTTAGTCATAAAAGATGAAGCAACAATTACTAAGTTAATCGCTCCAATCTCTCTACCATACAGTCACTCTTCGGACGTAGGCTCGATAGTTGGCGTAGCTGATTGTGACTTCTTGATCACAGGTGTCCTTGATCGAGGTCGCTTGCTGGAGCGCACGTCGTCTTCCAGGTCAGGCGTATTGCTAATCCTGTTCTTCACCATCTTGGTGATGTGGTCTCGTGGTTGCCAACCCTCTGGAGCCGTGTCTGGGAATGCATACCAGCATTTGCTGAGGGTATGGAAGCCGTCGCATGCCTTGCACTTCTGCGATGAGGTTGATCCTCCACCGTAGGGATGTTGGCGCTTCTGCATGTTGCGTCCTCTTCCTCTCTTCTTCTCATTGTCTGGCTCTTCGTTATCCAGTGTCGGTCCTCCTGCGGCAAAGGCCGCCTTGTTCGATCGGCTCTTCGCTGGGTGCATGAGTTGGGCGTTCTGTCTAAACTGAAGGAACATCTCCGTGGCGGTAACAGTAGGATCGCGGAGGCCATGTACGATGAAGGATGTCGTCCAGGTGGAGAAATGTTTAGATACTGATGATACGAAGTCCTTCTTGATGAACTGGTCGTTGAGGCACTCTGGCACTCCGGTGGCCCTGCCTTCGGTAACGGCGTGATCGACTTCAGTGAGCCAGGTGTCCCATTGGGTAACTACTCTCATTGGCTTCATTGCTTCGTGGTATCTTCGTGCTTCGTCAAGCTCGTCCTCTGCTCGCACACCGACGGTGGCGGCAAGCTTAGTAATCCAGTCTCGGTACGGCTGGGAGGGCTTGCAGCAATTAGTGAACAAGTGTGCGGACACAGTAGTCCTCATAAAATCGGTAACCTGGGCGAGGTGGTTTCTCTCTCGCTGGTACTTAGTGTCTTCCATCTTGTACGCCTCGATCCTTCCTTTGTAATCTTCTACGTCCTCTTTGTATGACGCCTTGCCAGTGTTTGACAGGTCGGAAACACGGGTAGGGACAAAAGGAGGCGATGTCGCAGACAGTGGGTGTTCCGATTGATATTGGGTTGTATACGCGTTGATCGCGGCGGTCGAGGGCTGGTAAGCGTCGACTTCTGGACGTGTAACGGCGCGTGGCTCGACAAGTGGCTGGGACAGCTGTTTCGTGTCGAAAAGGTGCCAGACGCTCAAAGGTACGCATTTGTTTTCGAGTTGCGCAATCCATTTGATCCATTGTGTGTGATTGGTGAGGACTATAGTCTGATCGCGATTGTAGATAGTCGTCATTTTTACTATTGTCGTCGCGTTTGTGCGACAGCGTGATTTCGGTTGTTTTAGTAGGTAGTGCTTTAATAGTAAAGGCGCTGAGACTCTTAATTGTCAGATAACAGGGTTCTGATGGGAATCATAATAATTGTGGTTGAACGTGTGTATTGTCGTGTGTGGTGCAGTCTCGTGAGGGATGAGACGGAAGGTCGCCCTGTCCTAGTCCCTCTTGGGACTAGGGGGTCTACGTAACGTGATGATCTCCAACTCCGTTGCCTTCCACCCAAAATCTACCTCATATCTGACAACTATCAACATGTGCGTAGAAAGCGATCTGTTGAAAGTCAAAGTACCCCTCATTTGTCCCAGCACGGCGGGTGTCCCAGCACTCAGGGAGGGACATTAGTAGCATTGTCTTTCCCTTGCCAGGATCGCCTTTCACCCATAGCAGTCTGCTTTGTTGGTCCTTATGCCACTGCCTAAACGTGGTGTTGTCAAGGATCCAGCGGTAGGAGTCTGCTAGTAAAGACTGTCCCTGTATGACGAAAAACCCCGTGTGCCGAAAATGACCAATTGGATCACAAGGGTCGCAGAGAAGTGTGTGATCCTTGCGATCCGATTGGTCATTTTCGGCACACGGGGTTTCTCGTTGTACAAGGACGGACGTTACTAAAATTCAAGAGTCGTTGCAGCTTGAGCGCAAGGTGCTTAAGCAATGTTGGTAGTTCGTTGCGGAGGGATGTTCGACCCACAGGAATGGACGTTAGGTACAATCGGAGGATTAAAGCAGCTGATTTATCCTATCAAAAATGGGATTTTGCTAAGTATACTGTGGGTTTAATGTACAGGACTGCTAGATACAGGTAGGCAGTCAGGATAAAATACTAACGCTCTGACGCCAACAGACTCCGGGGGCCACTGCTCGCCCAACATAACCTTATAACAGTGAAGCGTATGTTTATAATCCTGAACATAGTCGCTAATATACTTCTGTGATGTGAACGCTCGCTGTAACTTCCGCCACACGTACATGCAGTGTACATGATGAAACTCTTCTGTGACCCAACAGTGATCATAATCTCCTTGAAGGACCACTTCTCGAGGCATAGGGGATGTTCCGTTTTCTGTATAGAAGTATTCCCAGTCCTTTTCTGCCATAAAATCATTTACTATTTCCTCGTCATAGCATTCAGGCGTTTCCCATGACAAACTTTGAATGTCGAATTTACATCCACGATGGCGAGCCTCCGTAGAATTAGATCCACAATTCGTCCATGTTTGTATGGATGCGGAAACGCTGTTTGTCGTGGAAGGCGAAATATTTGGCGTATAAACTTGATGTGTATGTAACAATACCCATAGTATGGCAATCAGCAAGGATGTCGTAATCGTCCAACCAGTCGCTAAGGCCAGGTTGCTAACAGGTTTATATCGAGCGAATGGCGTACGTGCAGGTTTATCAAGCTCTTCATGTAGTAGAGGACTGTAGCTATCGCTGTCACTTTCAGGCATTACTGAGATTTCTAAATAGTAGATTAGCGCACTTCAAATTTACCAATAGTTAAAAACAAAACTCACTCCGGTCTTGACTCAAGTTTGAAAACCGGAATTTGAAAAATTGCAGATACATTAAAATGATCAACACGTTTGTAGAGAAGGCTGCAATAGTTTATGAATGGATGTATATTCCTTCTTCCCTTTAGGTATGCTGTTGTTATAAACTTAAATTGATTGAATTTAAACTGATTCAGCCGACCGGACTGACTGAACCGACCGGACTGACCGAACCGACCGGACTGACCGAACCGACCGGACTGACCGAACCGACCGGACTGACTGAACCGACCGGACTGACTGAACCGACCGGACTGACTGAACCGACCGGACTGACTGAACCGACCGGACTGATTGAGCCGACCGGACTGACTGAACCGACCGGACTGACCGAACCGACCGGACTGATTGAGCCGACCGGACTAACTGAACCGACTGAACCGACCGCTTACTAAGTAAAATACATAGTTAATCTAGGCAAATAGATACTTAATTTTATACTCCTAGAACTATTTTTATAGTCCTATTGGCTAGGTAGATAGGGACAAAATTCATTGACCTATATCCGAAGCTTCTCCTTGGGGTTTGGGAGTATCAGCGCCGAGGTGATGCCGTTATGTGATCATCTAGCCGTAGGGTAGCCCCTACTTGTGTTACAAGTAATAGCAGGAAGGATTCGTTCCCTGACAAGAAAGACGAGTGGTTGCAGAACACACTCGGGTTCACGCCAAAAGGTGATGACCATCGCTGGGCGATAATGATGTGACTCGGCATCCCGCCAAGATGGAATACCAGGGAGGATGGGACTGGGAGCAATGAGGATATAAGGATGGATGGATTTCATTATTAATCTCGTTGTGGTCAACTCAAACTGTTCCTTCTTACTAGTTACTTTACTTAACAAGATTGGTATTCGTTAGTCTATAGCAATATAGATTAGTGTTAACACGGGGGGGGGTATACTCAGACTTTTCATTAAGCAAATCAAACAAACTTTGGACGCTGATTTGGTTTGTTTGTACAAAACTTGGAGTTGCATTTGAATTGTTTAGTTTGATAGTGTTTTAGGAGACTGTTTGTTTGAAAGTTTGATGGCTGACGTGATTTGTCCCCAAGTTTTTGAGATTTGTCCCCAACCAAAGTACCGAAAATAGCAACTTTTGCACTGCACAATCCAAATTCACTACAATCACAAGTGTAATTTTTATCTCTGAAGCCACAGATACGTCTCGCATACTTAAAAGTACCTCTTGCCTACTTTTTGTAAATTCTGATAGCGATGGGAGCGAGCTGACTGGAGTTGAAGTTGACGAGAAGCTACCAACTTCAACATGCAATTAAACCATAACGTGGACTAATTAGAGGCTCAGAATTCTTAAGAAAGCTGCGCGAGACCTAAACGTAAGTTATTACGTTCAATCATTCACTTACATCTTTGCTGGCGTTGAGTTTTGTGCATGTAAAACGATTCGGTACTTTGGTTGGGGACAAATCTTAAAAACTTGGGGACAAATCTCAGCAGCCAAGTTTGATAGATTTGATACCGTTTAGGTGCTAATGTAATCGTACCTCGTACAAATTACTAAGCTTCGCTGTCCCACTTGCATATCTCGTATATTGTAGCTACCTCAGCGTCAGTTATGTCGCCTGAATTGTAGTCAGATGGAGGCTTAAAGCCAGCGTCGCGCCAGCTTCGTATACACTGTATTGCTGAAAGCAGTTGTGACCCAATTTTGCGTCGCCTTGGCTCTAATAAATCACCGAGCTCGCTGAACAGCCGCTCGCACTCACAACTTGAGGCCGGTATCGTTAATATATCGATCGCCATATGCGCTAGGTTGGGATACTTCGGGCGTAGGCTTATCCAATAGCTAACAGGATTACTACCTTGTTCGAACTGCTCCTGCGTCCAGCGGAGTTCAAACCGTCGCAACGCTCCAGCTCATCCATCTCTGTCACCTCAACAATGCCATAAGGCTCCGCATTGACGAGCGCGTTGATGGCGTCATTGATACCGCTTGAGAGCCGCACTGGTGGG